CGAGAGAGAGAGAGAGAGAGAGAGAGAGAGAGAGAGAGAGAGAGAGAGAGAGAGAGAGAGAGAGACTGCAGTGAGAAAGAACTTCTGAGGCTGGAATGACAAAGCACGCTGCAGCTTCTCACTCGCTCGCTTCCTTCTTACAAATGGCGGATGATGTCCTCACTTTGACTTAAAGAACTCTAGTATGTCTGAGCACATACTGGAAGTGTACTGAGGAAAAAGTGTTTGATATTTGTAACCACATAATTGCATAGTGAAAGAATTATAGTCAGGTGAATGATAGATGATTATAGTCATTTTTGTAGCGAGTTCCTATAGTGTTGATGATAACCCTATATACGCATATCGCTACTATACTACTTTTTTGCTGGAACAAATATAGCTAGTGCCGAAAATAGCTATAATTTTTTAACATTACATTATAACATTAACCATTCTTTTTCGTCTCGGCGCGTTTTAACATACAAAAATATTTATTTTGTACACGGAAAAAAAAGATTTGCTAATATATGGACAACTAAAAGTATTAACTGTGCAAGAGCACAATTTTCTTGCTTTCATAGCAAAGTTATTTAGTTGTGATAGCTAAAAGATTTGCTAATACATATATTAGCATATAAATCTTTTTTTTCCGTGTGGGTACTAATAACATACTTATTATATACTATTATAGAATATTTTTTGAATAAGGAAATACACATTTTCTTCAAACCTTAAGAAAACCTTAGCTTTACACGAAAGCGATTGTTTATTCTATTTAAATAGAAGAATTTATATACTTAAGTAAATACACCCATTAGTACACCCATCGAATGAATATTTATTATTTTTTGGATATCTTGTCTCTCAGTGTAAGAGATTTCCAATTAAAATGGTTCACTCATTAAAAGAAGAATATTCTTTCGATAAAAGTTTTTGCTTAGAAGATGGAATTACAGGAAACATATAGTACCTTGAAAGTTCACATGTAGTAACTTGAAAGTTCTTTTTTATGGATATTAGAATATCTTTTCTTCGCTTTAGAAGAATCCTCTTGCGGCCATGTATGAGAGAGTTCCGTTAAGGAAGAGATTATATTTTTTTGAACGAACATCAGAATTATATTTACGTTTGAACGATTCGAGAGGCTCGAGTCGAGAAGTTCGTTTAGAAATTCATTCTAATAGCGCAATTATACAGGAGTATTTACAATTCTAATTCGAATTTGCGGTTTCGTAGGGAACGGAGATCGATACCAAGCGACGGCTCGATCGATCTCCTTCCGATCGGCGCTCTGCCGTCTCCCTTTTATACCGTCGTTGCGCTGCAACTGCGTCGTTGTTAATGTAATCGGCTCTTGCGTTCAATTAGAACGCTGCGACTGCTACGATTAATCCTATCGGGCATTTTCACGGGGCGCGCGCGTCGCGCGTCCGCATGTCATAAGATCGCGCGCGACTACGCGCCAGATCCGAAGTTTAAGTTTAATGTCGACATGCCATTAATGGCATAAACGTATTAATTGACAACGCGATAACGACTGGTGCAACAAAGTGCGCGATATCCCTGTCGCCGGCACTCTTCATCCGCGCGCTATAAATATCGATCGTCCGATTTTTTCGCCTTCCAGAATCCGGTTACGTCAGGGATTAATGGTACGCGATAAAGAGAGGTCATATCATCAGCGCGACGGGAGGCAATCCTTATCTCGCGACGTATTCTTGGCCGGCTTCTCGCATTCGCGGCATAAGAATAAAAAGGTTTAATGACATTTTAATTATGCGTCTCGCGGTAACGATGGCTCTCGTGACTTATCCTCTCTGCCTCTCTCCCTGCGTACTGCTCGTTTTTGGGAGAACTTTGCACTCGCTATGGCCAACATCCGCCGCGGATGCGGAGATAATTGCGTGGAGAGATCATTTTCTCCGGCTGGACGTACATTACGGCTACGCCGGCGTGAACGGACCTGGCGACGATCGTCGCGTACCTCTGCAGCATTGAAGTCTTCTAACTCACCTAAGTCGTAGCCAGTTAAAAATTCGAGTTCATGCGACGAGAGTTCGAGAATTTCGATGTCGCAGAGGTGCGCTTGCATGTGAGCGTTAGATAACATTAGCTGACATTAGTTAAGGAATGAACATTCGTAGATGTGTAATTTTCGTGTGTGTACAGCGTGATCTTCGTGACTCGCAGATATTTCGCAAATGGACGTAGAATTCGGCGATCTTGATCCGCTCGTTGAAAGGTCTGAGTAAAAAGGCCCTTACTTTGAAGTCTCTTTGGTCGACTAAAGTATCTTTAAATGTGTTTATGAGCCAGTCAAAAGCCCGACTAGAAATTCATCCCACGATCCTGATCAAGTTGATCTCAATCATTTATTATTTGGCTTATATACACGGAGAAAAAAGATTGGTTGTAAGATTGGTTGATGAGAGCGAAGTAACGCGTTCTAGTTAAACAGAACGGAATTTATGGTTTTGAAGACCAGATTTCATTGATGAGAAGCGGAGAAATTCTTTCCTTTAATCAGAACACGTTGGTTCGTTTATTGAAACTAAATTTCATGTTAATCAAATCTCTTCCTTCGTGTTAAATTTATTATCGAGTTTGTTATCCTGATAATCAGGATTTCATTGATAATAAAAATTATTAGTAATTAGGTTCTTCTTAGTAACTAGAATCTGTGACATCATTTAGTATAAACTAGATAAATTAGGATTGTGATTAACCTGATTACGGAGAAATGTCCTTTAGTCGAGAGACTTGTAAGCCACGTTTAGAAGGACTTTTATCGACAAAAGAGAGTCCGGAATAAGGACCACAGAAGTTTGTCTCCTATTTGATTGCTTCAACGTGAATAAGAGTTGTATTAATCGCTCAACACTGCGCGTTAGAGAGGAAGAAGTCAATTTGGAGATCAGCAACGTTGCGTTGGACTCTAGATCTAGAGTCAAGTTAGAGTTAGGACATCGCCTGCCATTTGCAGGGAGGAAGTGAGTGAACAAGTGGGTGAGAGAGAAGCTGCAACGTGTTTTGTGATATCAGTCTTAGGGAGAATTCACATCTTGGCGGAAAAGCAGAAAGCAGACAGAAACCAATCAGAACTCGCGCTGGTAGAAAAACGGAAACTGTCGACTATCCACCAACGCGAATTCTGATTAAATTCTCTTCTACCTTTCCGCTTTCTTTTTCTTCCCTGCCAAGTTATGAATTCTTCCTTAGAAGAGCTTCTACCTCATTTCTACTGGAGTTTATCACTCCTATTCACGTGAAATAGGATGCGGATCAGAAATTATCATGCCTTGTCCTAACTCTGACTGGAGGAGCTCTAGGCGCGGACCCTTCGCCTAATAAGCGCGTACCTTTCGAATCCTCGCTCGTACACGGCGCGTTAAGAAGGATCGAAAATGGTGCGCGCAGTCGGTGAAAGTCGTAAACTACATTTCGCGAATCTGTGCCACGTCCGAGTGCGCTCGCTCGCGCGCGCGCGCTCTCGACCCGAGAGAGCCGGTAGTGCATGTCGGTGCCCCTCGGGGCGCCTTACGAAAATTCGCGCGACGCGACGCGACCCGGCGCGAACAGGTCGGGAGACGGGACGGGTTGCATGCATGAAACACGCGGTGCACACGAGAGTAACACTGTACACACACATACACACACAGTACACAGCACACCTAACATGACCGATCGGTCTGATCTGACAGATCGTTACCTGTCCCCAGGAGGCATACTCCGTACTTCAGCCAACCGGACTACAGGCTGTACGAGCTGAACAAGAGGTTGCAGCAGCGCACCGAGGTGAGTACACTTTCGAATTCATTTTCTCTCCCGCGAGCTCAGTTGCCGCGCTCATACATCGCACCCACATCGACATCGGCGAGTCTGTGAGTTCCGCCGCCCTTCGTCGTGGCTCCGTCCCGCGCGATCGCGCGCGATTCCTCGCGCATTATCGCGAATTTTTCCCCGCGACGCGGAGAGCGAGTCGCCTCCCTGGTGCGGAGGTACGCCGCAACGGAATTTTTCCCCTGCGATACCGCGCGTGTTTCTACGAGCGTATCGTGAAGATGCATCGTGACTTCGCGGAATGAGTTCTCCTTATCGACCGGATGAGATAATATATAAATAGTGCCGCTGTGTACGAAAGAATATTCAGAAACTCGCAGACACATCGGCAATCCGCGACGTGATCATTTTCGACGAGTATCTTCGTTTCCGTCGTGCCGAGAGAGAGAGAGAGAGTGAAAAAGAAAGGAAGAAAGAAAGAAAGAAAGAAAGAAAGAGAACCCATGCACGAAAAAAAAACAGATTTCAGTTCGAGTAACATACGATGGGAACCACACGAACGATTCACCGACAAGAAGTAATATCTCTGTGACTGAAAACATTTGTCTGAACATTCAGCTGAACATTAGAACTCAGTTTGAGATAGCCGAGAATAATTGGCTGATGAGTAGAAACCTCCTGCAGGAATCGTTCTGCTTCTACAATCGAGATTTGGTCTGCTAACATTCAAGTAACAGAAAATTTAGTTACAGTAACGGAGTTGATTTTTACCTGTGCACTATGAGACGTACTTTGTTTGAGATATAAGGTAACGGTCCCAATTATAAAGGTTGAGTTCCAATTTCGGGTCAAACTTGGTTCATTAATGTATTAAAAAAGTGCATATTTACCTTAAGAGAAAAAGATAGGTTGATCTAACTAAAATTATAGTTCGTTTTTAGACTTAAGCGTAAGCTTTGGTTTCAATACGAAAATGGTAGTAATAACGTACATATAAGGTTATTATCACTAACATTACAGTTAGAATTAAAATAAATTAAATTTGTTTTTTACCATGATTTATAATTATTTCTCTGTGTAATTATAGTTATAAATTAACACAAACATTTTTCATCAGTGTTATAATGATAAAAAAAAACATGGAAAAAGTTCTTCTTTATTCCTTAGTTCTTTTACGATTATATTCTAAGGTGACATTCACAAACACTCTTAAAATATTCAAGAAAAAAATTTAGGTTAAAAGTCTAGAATTGTTTTGCTTTATGAACTGTTTGGGTTTATGAAGTTATTAGAGACTGGGTTGTGTGCCGCACGTATATTATTATTTAATATGGACCAAAACACACACAATGCGAATATGGACATTATTAATACAAAATTGGGTATTGTATAATTCATTGTATGGGCGCCGTAATGCTTGCCGAGCCACAATTAAGATGCGCGTGAATGTTTTCAATGATACTTTTATAACGTAGGAATAACCTAATTTAAAATCTACTAATTTTGCTTTAAAACTACGATGTTAGTTGCTTATATTGGTGTCAGCAGTTAGTTTTTAACGTTCGACCGGTGAATTTATGTAAATGATTGTGAAGTTACTCTGTTACCTTGAATGACTCATAATTAGGATCGTTACCTTATCTCGCGGATACGAGGTCTCGGATTATCTTGCATAATTATTACAGAACGTTTTTACCAATTTCCCGATATACCGCGATGTAAACAAGTGAGATATCTTTTTTTTGGCCGACAAAATCACGAAAATAAATATCTCTTTGAAACGATCGAAAAAAATAAAAAAAAAAAAGAAAAATATCCGCGCCGCCGCCGTGGTCAGCGCGACGAAATTTACGGTATGCTTAATCGAACGCGCTATTTATCGCAATACGAGATGTCGTTATTTTGATAAAGGTTATTGCGCGCCGTTTTGTTTAATTGCGTTCGCTAAATCGTCCCTCCGTCGTGCCTCCCTCGCAGTCCCACAATTTCCGATCGGGAGTTTATTTTCGCGCGCGAAAAAGCTCGCACGTTCGTAAAGTCAACGTTGGGACCTTCTCTCTCTTTCTCTCTCTCTCTCTCTCTCTCTCTCTCTCTCTCTTTCTCTGTTTGTCCGTCTACGTTTCCGTCGCCGGTATCTATGTAAAGAGCGCGTTCGTAGCTGAAGGTTCCGAGTCATGTTTATTAACATATTCTAACTTTTAACTGCGATGTTGCTGCGCGGCCATTTCATCGCGGCCAAGGCGACGCGCATTTTGAAATAGCATATAAAATATTTGAATAATACTTCATTAATATTTAATATACATTCGATGTGTACGCAAAGTATTTCCCATTTCTTCCATTCGCGCGGCTGCCAGATGTCTTAATTGACTGCGCCATGCCGCGCTATTCGTAGATGATAATTGAATTGGCTGCCGCGTGTTAAATTTCATTTTTGCAAATCTCGAAACGGGGAACGTCTCGCAGGGGAGGACGCGCTCTGCGTGCCTTTCGCGCGAAAAAATCGTAGCAAGCGACGCGGCGCGCGCGCGTCTTGATTAGATTCCGTAATTCTTTCACCGGCGAAAAGTGGAGCGCGCGACAAGCTATTTACGCGGAATGGAAATGCTCTCGTGCGAAATGGGCCCGGACGGGAAGTCTTTTCTGCCCGGCAGCGCGCCGTGCGCACGCTAAATAAAATTATCTGGCCCATATACTGCCGACAGATAAACCTACCGCTTCAAGAAAACCGCGATAATGGCGATAAGATACGATCCAGAGAATGCGTTATTATTATTCGCACACGCGTGCGCGCGCATGTCGTCGTGTTCATCACGCGCTCGATTTCGGTGTGCCTCGTCGAGTTAATCGACGCGTTCCGCGAACGAAAATTGCAGTTCTGTCGTCGCGCGCGGTCTCACTCACGGCTGTCACGGGAAGTATTTCAAGTTGAATTATTGTTGCGACGCCTATTCAATCGGCACGCTCGCGAGATGATACAACAGCGTGTGCTGCGCTGAACGGTGAGCATCGTTGTGACACGATTTATCGTGAAATTGATACCGAGGGAGCGAAGAAAACGTAATGGGGCACTACGCGGTAATCCTTAACAAAATTTGTATACAGAGTGTCCCAGCATAAAGAGAACACCTAAATATTTCCCTTCTTTTTAATGATACGAGAAATGTTTAGAGCACAATTGGAATGGTTTCGAAGGAGAAATGCTGTATGTAGAAGGAAAATTATTTTGCAATCATTTTTTTCGAAATTTTTGAAGACTCGGTATTTTTTGTAACAAAGTATGATTTTTTTCTATTGCATCTTGTAACGGATGTTGAAATGTATTGAAGCGTGCCTGAGTTATAATTCTGGGAAGACTAAATATAAACAAAGCGGTAAAATTTCATGACAGAGATAGGATGGTTAGGATAGTATTCGAACAACAACGATCGTAACAAAATTTTTCTTCTATGGTATTCCTCCTTCAAAACCATTAAAATTGTGTTTTAAATATTTCTCGTATCATTAAAAAGAAAGAAAATATTTAGGTGTTCTTTTAATGCTGGGACACTGTATATACAGCTGATGTTCTAGCTCAGTTTCATAATTTCTCATAAAAATATAGAGCGGACTGAACACAAAAGTTCTATATCATTTTTGCGATATTCATAATAACTATCGAGATATTAATTAAAGATGTGTAAATGATGATGCTCGTTATGGTAGGTGAGCTGCAGTGATAACGTCTGCCGTCGTGTGCGTACGTTAGGTCAAAAAAAAGTCCTCTATCATTTTGCAAATAACTATATAGATTTTTAGTTTTTAATAAAAAAGAGTGGTGCGTTATCGCGCAAAATCATGCAACAATTTTCTTTAGTTAATAATTAGAAATCTACATGGTTCTTTGTAAAATGATAGAGGACTTTTTTGCTCCGTTAGACCTAATGTACATGACATTACAAATACAATTTATTTACTATATCATGCGTGATTATTCACAAATTTTCTAGAATTAATATCTCGATAATTATTGTGATTATTGTACTTTTGTTCATCTTAATTCGCTCTATGTCCTCACAAGAGATTGTGAAATCGAACTGGCACACTGTGTGTGTGTGTGTGTGTGTGTGTGTGTGTGTGTGTGTGTGTGTGTGTGTGTGTGCGCGTGCATACATAAAATTTCCATTTTGTTTTATTTCATCTTCTTCTTGCGTTTTTTTACTGTTAAAATAACTTCCTATATACGTTCGGCGTCTTTAACAAAGCCGACGAATATGACGGAGGCGCGTTCACGAATGGTTCTGAATAGAAGCCGTTAGGCTTGAGTAGCTTTGTCGTTTGGTATCTGCATGATTATTCATAAGACAGTCCGTGACCACTACGTGCGCAACCGTCTTGGAGATTATTCTCTCGGCGACGACGACGACGACGACGACGACGACGCGCGCGCGCGCGATTTACGGCGTAGCCGGCAATCACCATTCCTTTTCGAAGGTTGATATTTCACGGGGGGATAGCGGTCGATGTGTCATTAGGATGGAGTAACGCGAAAAAAAAGAAAGTGCTCGGGGTTAATGCGTTCTAATGAGCCTCCGCTCCTAGTACAGGCGTTCATTAATCTTCGGAGCCGCGGATGGACAACCGGTCTTCTTCCCTGGGAGGTCTTCGATAAGCGAGCCGCACGGTGATTCGTACGAATAAGCTCCTCGGTTTCCGTCGTTAGCGTCGCACGGGAGCGCCGGCAGAGGGGCGAAGTGATGGCGAGCTGTCAACGCGCGCGCGATCGGGCTTCTGCTACACGTGTCAACGTGTAGGGGAAAACTTTCGCGTGTGCCCACCTCTCTCCCGCCCCCGCGCTGCCGCGAGTTTTGCGGAAACTTCGGAACTTCGCGACGAGTTCCCGCAATTTCTTATTCTTGCGTTCTTCGTTTTTCTCTCTTTCAAATTTCTAATCTCGTTATCGCGTGTATTACACGCAAAAAGAAAAAGATATCATTCTACTGCCAAGAGAAACGATTACTCGGTTTACACTCCTT